AAACTGTGATAAGAGGTTATTTTATACAATATGATACATCGATTAAGAAGAAATCAGCTGGAAAAATCCAAAATGTTTTAGATGAGATTAAAGTGAAGGAAAAAGAATTTCAAAAATCAATTGGAAGACCAAACATATTTAATCAATTAAAATTATTGCAACAACAAATTTCTATGTTAACAGTTTCAGACATGAAAAAGAAATTGAAATATACAAAGCAGATTTTTTTAAAAACATGCAAATAAACCAGGAAGGTGGCTGTACAAATTAAGAAAACAAACTGAAAAGAAAATAACTAAATTTTGTGAAGGAGAATAAGACACACAATGATAATAAAAATATCCAAAGACATTTTGAGATTTAATTTATAGGAGGAACAAGAAGTTTCATTGGAACAAATAGATGACTATGTACAAAATCAAAATTTACCCAAATTATTGGAAGAACAAAAGAAAATGATGAACAGTCCAGTAACAACCTTTGAAATAACAGAAACAATTTAAACAGCTAAGATAGGTAAAGCACCAGGACCAGATGGTTTACTGAGAGGGTTTTATAAAACGTTTGAAGATCAATTTTTATTTTCAATGAAAGATTTAATGAATTCTATTTTACAAGGGAAGTCTATGCTTGGAAAGAAGCCCACATGGCTCTGATGCTCAAGGAAGGGCAGGACTTAACTTTTACGATATATTATAGTCTTCTTAATGACTACAAACTTTTTACATCCATCCTAGCTGAAAGACTAAAAAAGTTATACAAAAAGATGTCCATGAAGATCAGTGTCTTTTATTTCCTAAAAGTCAACTAAAGGACAATGTGACAATAATCTAGGATATAATTGAATATTTACAACAATGCAATGACAAATAGGCTATACAATTTTTTAGATGCAGAGAAAGCTTTTGATAATCTGAACTGAGATTTTATGTTTAAAGTAGTTGAGAATATGGACTTTCACAAAGACTGAAATCTATTTATACACCACAGAAGGCCGAGATTATGGTCAATGGAGAATTAATGCAACCATGTGAGATTCAGAAAGGGAAAGACAGGGAAGATCAAAGAAAACTGGAAAACAAAACTGGACTTAAGGTTATAAAAAAAGTAAAATACCTTGGTGTGACACTAATAAAAATTCTATATTGTTTAAAACTAACTATATTAAAATGTGGAATGAGATAAAACTGGATTTTCACAGATGGGGAAAACTAGATTTTTCACTAAGGGGAAGAATTTATGTTATTAAAATGACTGTTTTATCCAGAATGTTTTTTTGACTCAATTTTACTGATTCTAATAAAAGACCAGTCTTTTAAACAATGGCAGAAGGATATTTCCAAATTTGACTTCTTCTCAAGATGGCTGCTGCCTGGTAAAGGCTTCTTCTTTCCCTTACTGACAATCTGCTGATTTCACTGCCAAAGCTGACTTGGTCTACCTTAAAAGGCTGACATTTTCTTTTCTCACTGTTTTGGATAGCACTGGTATTGATGGAAAAGTATAGTGCAATTCTTCTGGTCCTGATGTCACCAGAGCATTGATTCGCCTAATAGATTGTCTTGAAATCAAAAGAGGAAATGCTTTAGTTTCTCTATGAAAATGAACAGATTAATCAAGAGGATCCCTATTTTACGGAGGTTTCATGAAAAAAATATCCAGACATATTCTTCCTGAGAGAAATGCATACAACTCGATCAGTTTGCTATTGTGTTCAATGAATCTGAAGACTAGGCATGTCTCCACTCATATCAATAATTGGAAGCTGTTCTCTGAAGGTTCTTGGATTTGGTCCTATTCTGACTTTACATAGATTTCAATCAAAATATTGTCGATTCACACTGTATGTATTGTTCAATAATCTGGTGTGAAAGTCAGTTGTGCATTACATAAGTAGAGTCAACTTGTTATGGGACCATAACTCCTGGATCACTGGTCACCTGATCCCTTATCATTCTCTCAGTGGCCTTTTCCCTGCCAATTTGGCTGGAATTAACCACCAGTGCAATAAATCAGGGGGTTGCCAACCTTTTGGACCTCAAGGACCATCAAACTCATAATTTTAAATCCCGCGGACCACTAATATGAATTTTGACTGATGGTGGCTTGCTGACGTTGTTGGGAAAGTCGGTCCCACATTCCAGAGCTGCAGTAGTCACAGGACTGGCCCTTTGGTCATCTCGGAGTAGCTGCTCCTCCCCCCGCGTGCACCGGCCTGCCATGGACTGGAGGAGCTACTCCGGGATGACCAAAGGGCCAGTCCTGTGACTATTGCAGCTTGGGAATATGGGACTGACATTCCCACCATCAGCAAGCCACCCCAGGGCGATTTCCGTCCCCCGCAGTTGGTCTTACTTTCCAGTTTCAGCTTGCGTGGTTCTACTCAAGGTAAGGTTTGCACTCGGCAGAAGGTGGGGGCCAGTGGGTGGGCGGGCCATATGGGCGGAGCAGCATTGTGTCCCTGCCCAGCCTGGATTGCTTTGGGGGGTGCTTTGGGGGGGACATTTCTCTGTGGACCACCAAAATTTTCTCACGAACCACCAGTGGTCCCTGGCCCACTGGTTAGCGACCACTGCAATAAATGATTTACCCTGATAGTACCATTCAGCACCATTTGCATGTAGAACTAGAAGTAGAGTTAGGCAGTAATTTCAATATTTCAGTATAGAGCCATGGTGGTGCAGTGGTTAGAATGCAGTACTGCAGGGCTAACTCACTGCTCACTCCAAGAGTTCAATTTTAAGCAGCTCAAGGTTGACTCAGCCTTCCATCCTTCTGAGGTCGCTAAAATGAGGACTCAGATTGTTGGGGACAATAAGCTAGCTCTGTAAACCACTTAGAGAGGGCCATAAAAGCACTGTGAAGTGGTATATAAGTGTAAGTGCTATTGCTATTTTCCATTGGTGGAAGAGGGCTTTGCAAAGCATTCTAACAGGCATTATTTGTAGATATGTATTTCTATCATTCATTACTATTCTTATGCTCAGAATTCACTTAGGTTCACATGAAATTAAAAAGATGTACATATGTTCATTTGAAGTCATGCAGATTGGAATAACAATTGTTTCTTTATCATACTTGAGTACTGGATTTCTCCAGACAGTATTTGCATTTGATCTTTGCTTGGCATTAGAATGGTATTTTGTTATTCTGCCACATTTGCTACATTATTAATCTGGGCATGTTTAACTATCAACTTTACCTACCACCCAGGAGTCTTGAGAGAATAAAGTTGGAAGCTCTTCAAGGAGGATGACATGCAGATGATGAGCAATAAAATATTGTATTTGGTCAACAATTGCAAAAAATCCTGGGAAGTTTTTTTGGGAACAAATAACTTACAGAGGTTAAAGTTTTCCTCAAGTGTGCTTAGCTTCTTAAAGTAACTTCATGGATATATTTACGAATTCCTATGGCAACACTTGTTTCAGAACATTTCTTAATTTCTCAGCCTATAGCCTAGGATTTTCTAGTGATCTCCCAGTTATAAAGAAACCCAACCCTTCTTAGTTTTTAGTTAAGCTCATCTAGATATTTCCAGCTGGCTAGGATAATTGAAAATGCTGACACTCTGTTACTGATTTTTTTAAAAAGATTTTATGAATTTGTCAGAAGGCAGTAATCTTTAGTCTAACAGGAAACAACAGCTCTGCTGTGAATCATGAGGCTAAGAATAAAAAAGCAGCGAATCTATGTATCTGTGATAATACTAGAAAATGGACAATATTTTTTTTCTTTGCCTCTGTGTATTATTTATCTTTTAAAGCACAATGCTATTTGAAAGAAATTACTGTCTTTTCTGTTAGGAGTAGTTTCTAAGTACTCCTAAATCTATGTCAGAGTGCTGTGAAAAGTTCAAAATTTTACTGGTTTACCTATACAAAAGTAGTTCTGTTCTTCCTGCCAATTTTTGCCTGCTGTTTTATTACCAAAAACATTTTGATTACAACATCTAGCAGGATGGAAGAAAGTAAGACTACTTTTATGGCTAATTTAACCATTCTCCTAGTTTTATGGACATGGAAGAGAACCTGGCATCTTCAATTCTTGGCATCTTTCTTCCCTGATCAAATTGTGTTAAATTCCCTGCCCATTCTTGGGGTTTCCCATGCCAACAACAGCAGATATTGAAGTCAGCTTTGACGCCAAGAAGTAGAGAAGAATAATGTATTTCTCCTCCAAAACTCAGGGATTCATAATAAAACAATTATGATAAGCAGATCATATTTAGCAAGGATTATAAGCTGTCAACCAATGAATGCACACATGAAAGGACAAAATAATTTATCTTTCCCAAGGTCTAAAAAAACCTAGTCCTTTGCACAGCGAGAGAGGGAGGGAGAGAGAGAGAGGGAGGGAGGCAGGGAGAGAGAGAACATAAATCTCTCTCCCCACTTCATCACACCTAGTACCAATCATCTGAGCTGTGGTTTATTCCTCTGAAAAACATTATTATATGAATGATATTTCTGTTGCCTTGGTATTCACAAACATATGCCTGTTATATTTTGTACATATTTAGATATTCAATCAAGAGCAAAAAATACTAGCTACTAGTCCCCCCCTTCCCCCCTTAAGACTCTTCCTTCTTGGTATACAATTTAACCAGGGGTGGGCTTCAAAAATGTTAGCAAAGGGTTCTCTGACCGGTTTCTGGGTGGCCTCCTGCACCACAGCAGGCGGGGGGCGTTTTTGCCCTTCCCGGGCTACGGAGGCTTTCCTCGAGCCTCCAGGAGTGTGAAAATGGCGTCCCCGTGCTCCGGAGGCTCTCTGGAAGCTGGAAACAGGCCCATTTGCGGCCTTCCTGAACTTTCGGGAGGCCCTTTTTTCGCCCTCCCTGAGCCTCCGCACTCTCCCTGCACTTACCTGCATCCAAAACGGGCCGCGTGGGGGGGATTCCTGGGAGGGGCGGGGTGAGGCGGGCAGGGGATTTGGGGGTTTTTCCGAACTGTACAGAATCTTAGCTAGAGGCTCTCCCGAATCCCTATGAACCTCCAGGAGCCCACCCCTGAATTTAGCAGAGAAACCAATTCTGTGTCTAATTCAACCATTGCATTCCATTTTCAAAACAGACTTTTAAAAATGTTATTATCAGGAGCAAGAAATCTATGGATTGTAGGATTATTCTTGCCTAACCCATTAAACAAAAGTTAAGGTAACTATATTTTATCCCCACCTTCTTTTTGGTTTATAAAAAAAACACAAGTCTCCATAAAACCACCAATAGGAAAACAATGAAGTTGAGATTCCCCTTCCCAAAATTTCACATATAAAGTTCAAGTGCAATTCAAAATCCAAGTATCATTTATACTACATACTTTTTCTATCAATAATTCTTCTTTGCAGGTAGTTTCTTCAAAAAAGATGAACAGGTTTCTTCTTCATGTGGAAGATAAACAAGGTTCCTTCTCTAAAACGAACACTTCTCTATGATACACGGAAAATAAAGTTGTGCAGCCAAAATATGGATCATCAATTGGATGGTCTCTGAAATTCCAAGTTACTTTTCTTTGAGGTGAAAAAAAAAATCCCATCAAATATTGGAGGTTATAAAACATTATAGTTATTCTTCAATATACAATTTAAGATAAAGATGGGCAGGAAATCTTAAAATCAGCAAAAATGTTTCTACAGTCAAACCCAATATAATATTTGACAGGAATGCAAAAGAACCAAAAATAAAAAAAAAACTCCTGAAAAAGCACTAGAAGCTATTTGTATGGTCGTAGAAACCTGGAAACTTTTGATCGCAATAGCTTTATAAACGATCTTGGAAACATCTCCTTTGATTCTTGTGCTGTGTACTTGAAATAGTTTTGAGGATGTGCCAGTACATCAAAAAGGGCTTTAATCAATTTCTTGTCCTGTGGAAGACAGAGGAAGCAAAAGCACATCATTTTGCAATGGCTCTCCTGCCCTCCCATTTGGTCCTCCTACCCTGCTTTCCTCACTGGCTAAGACAGGGGTGTCAAACTCAATTTCATTGAGGGCCGCATCAGGGTTGTGTTTGACCTCGGGAGGGCCGGGGTGGGCGTGGCCAGGGTGGATGTGGCCAGCTCGACATCATTTGTGTCGGGGGTGCTTGTGGTGGCCCGAGCGTTCTGCCAGCAAAAACGGGCTCCCAAGCTCTGTTTTTGGCCGTGACGGCTTCCTACAACCCTCTGCCAGAGAAAACGGAGCTTGGGAGGGCCACAGGTGGTCCTCATGAGCTCCATTTTCACTTGCAGAGGCACCAGGGGCCGGTCCTTTGCTGTTTCTAGGGCAGCCCCACAAACCAGATCTAAGCATCCCATGGGCTGGATCTGGCCCCTGGGCCTTGAGTTTGACACCCCTTAGAATGGAGTTCCTGTTTTCAGTCTCCCAATTTTAAGAAGCACTCTGCAAATGTCTTAAATAAAAGCCACTAGGAAAGATTAGGTATGAAAAGCTTACTTTTAAAATTTCTTGGTGATTTTCTGAAGCATATAAACGTCCATCACGAACAATGTCCTCTATTAACTGCTGATAGTCCTCTGAAAAGTGAATGGCAAAAGGACCAAATCAATTATATTCTTTTTCTGACAACAATGTCCAGGCGTATTAGCCACATGTTTTGAAGTGATCCAGAATTTAAACACTTTTTGTTTATTTAAATGTATTTTATTTATTTATTAAATTTATATGCTGCTTATCTCCCTCTCCTTAACTTGACATCAAAGTGCAGTCCGGTGGCCTTTTAGGACAACATCCCAGGAATTACAAGATATGTAGATAGAAGATCTTAGAAAAGAAACTGATAGAAATCCCTTTTTGTTTCTGATCTCAAGGAATCTTGGGATGTTTCTCAAAGATGTTTCCTGTAGGGCTCGCTCTCTATGAATTATTTTTATACAATCTTTTTTTAATCCAGCTAAGTTTCATGCCTAAGGGGGCCTCGAGTTCACGGTCTCCTGGTTTCTAGAACAGAGCCTTTGCACAAGTTTTGACCAGCTTGAGGTAAAGTTCCTTCATTACTCACAAAAGCTAACAAAAACTAACAAAAATAACTCCCCTCTCACTGCTACCCCAAAAGGGCAAATATAGATATCTCTATTCTTATTTCAGACAAACATACAACAAAAAACTAGACCAATTGTATAACTGATGCTCAAAGAAAATGATAGGTTATTTTCTCTTTGGATTATTATGTTTTTTTTTCTGTGAGAATGTAAAGATGGCAGAGAATAGAGGGAGAAATGGTGGATGGACAGACAGACACTGTCCAAGATTCTGTACAAAATCAAATTTATAGATTAAATTTGTTTGACAAAAAAACCTTTTTCCATTTTTTTGTTAATACAGCTAGTGCTATATTTATTGAAGTTTAACCCAGCTGAGATTGCCATCAATTGGGATTTGCAAATCAGCTTTAAATGTTGATTGCAAATTGATATAAAATTAATATTCCACTTAAACAAATTCTGTTGATGCTGTATTGTGAAGAAGACAAAGACGAAGGGAGAATTCCAAAGACCTTTCGAATCTTGGAGCATGTTGGAGAGGAAAGGAACATTTTATATTTCTCCTCAATGCATAAAACAAATGAGTATGACTGCATTTAATTAAAAAAAAAACATGAGTTAGTACAACGGCACCTCCTTTCTAGGTAGAAATATGATAGTTCTCTCTTGAGTTTTAAGCATGGTTAAACATTTCATACAACAAATGGCTTGTAAAGCTATGTGATCATCCTTCATCAGTAAAACAAGGAAAAGGGAGCCAAATACTTTCTGCGTCCTTTCTGGGTATTTAAGTAAAATAATTTGTAAATAGTAACTATATATCCCTATATGGAGAATCATTACTGATTCTAAAAATACTGAAGGAAAAGGAAGAGGCCAGGAAATTTTATATCCCTTCTTCTCTATTAACATAATTTATTTCAGGTTATTTGTGCTTTACCATCATACGTCACATAGGGCACTTGAAATCCTTTGCCACTGTTTCCTTCATTTGATTTGAACTGAATCCACAATTTCCGTGACCGGGAGGTGAAGGCTATGGGTCTCTCATAGGTTTGGCAGGTTTCATAGGTAGTAATTGATGTAGGTGAAGCTTAAAAATAAAAAAATAAACATACGGATTTTTGTAAAAATAAATTTTAATTTGCAAGACATGTGAAGTGCTACATTTTGCATTCTCTCTAGTCTAAGATTAGCAAGACATACATGACGGGGGTGGGCTTCAAAAATATCAGCAACCGGTTCTCTGCCCAGTTTCTTGGTGGGCATGGCCTAGTCGGCCTCTTGCACCATGAAGGGGGACCATTTTCGCTTTCCTCGGGCTCGGGAGGCTTTCCTTGAGCCTCTGTGAGGGCAAAAAAGGCCTCCCCGGGCTCTGGAGACCCTCTGGAACTTCCAGGAGGCCCATTTTTCGCCCACTCCAACCTCCGGAGGCTTTCCTTGAGCCTCTGGGAAGGTAAAAATGGCCTCTCCAGGCTCCGGAGGCCCTCTGGAGGCCGGAAAGGGGCCTATTTCCGGCCTTCTGTAACCTATGGGAGGCCCGTTTTTTGCCCTCCCTGAGTCTCCGTGCAGGCCCTGCACTTACCTGGCATTTGAATGGGCCACATAGGGACTCTTGGGAGGGGTGGGATGGGCGGGGCCAGCCAGGGGTGGGATTTGCCAGTTTGCCAAACCAGCCATAAAACTAGCTATGGGTTCGCCTGAACCAGGGAGAACCGGTAGCAGCCCACCCCCTGCGTACATATCTATGTCATCTTTCAGGGAGAAGTGTTTCCTAATTATCCGGAGGCCATGCTTTTCTGGGAACTGAACACTGAACCTCCCTTATGTAAAACCTGCATTTTGTCACTGACTTAAGACCATTATTCAAAATATATCCCAGTGTTTTGATCTAATTAAACTAACTTTCATTTGCAGAAGTTCAGGACTCATTTGTAAGTCTTCTTTAGACTCATGATTATGCTAGTCCATACTCTTGAGTAATATTAAATAATTTCATTTCATATTGCTTGGAGGTAGAAATAAACTGGACAGTAGAAAACAAAAAAAGACCCAGAAGTGATTATTATACAGGGTGCAATTTTTGCAGAAAGCATGGCCGTTATCAAACACTAGCCATTTAGACACTACTGAAAGTGTTGCATAGAAAATGTGACAAAATCTTGGTCAGATATTGAATTTAGACTCAGATGTACCTGCAGATGTAGCTTCTAAACGATAAGAGCTAAATCAACACTATGAAGTTTTACATAAATAAACATCACTTCTGAGTCAGATAAATTGTTGAATGACATTCTTCTGAGATGACAGTCTTCTGGCTTTTCTAGGGACAAAGCTTACCACTTTTTCTCATTACTAAAACATCACCACACTCGTCTTCAATTGGGAGAAAGATCTCGGGGACTACAATGAGGATCCGTCTCTTTGGAGGTGGGCTTATATTCCAAGTGCATTCAACATTGGCTGGGTAATCTCCTGGATAGTTGGGGGATTCGATGTATCCTGTATAGTCTCCAAGTTCTCCACCACATTGTTGATCTACAGAGAGAGAGAAAGAGAGAGACCACGAGAAAGAGAGATGAAGTCAGACTGAGCTGACCTACTCATGTTTTAGTTTCTACAACAGGGATTCTCTTCATCTACTTATTGGTCTCATTTTAAGAAGCTATACAACTGTAAATAATTTTGCATTTTAAAACTCACTTCATTAATATTACTTTGGATGATTTTCCTTTGGGGTCTTGATCTAACTACCGTATAAATCTAATTGTGTTATGTTCTGTAAGCCTGGGAGTGAATATCGGTCTTTGGCTATGCTTTGAAATGGGTGGGCGTGGGAAACATTGTTCCTCTTTGCAACTCCTTCAATTCCTAGGGAAGACACAGATGCTTCTAAGAATGATGATCAGGGGCTGTATTTATGCTCTCCAAAGCATATTTTTGCTTCCAAATAGAAGCTGTAGCACAGCTCCAGTCTTTCCTTGTATGTAGAGACAAGACTCAAATGGTAAAAGCTCTTTCATCAGCTCAAATGGGATGCAGATACATCATGTTGCCTTTTAAAAAGTTAAATATTTCTCTTTTTTGGGGGGAGTGGGGTAAGCCAAAGTCAAATTTGATAATGTGTGAATGTTTCCTCTTCCTGAAAAAAAGCTTCCTATTTTGGGGAAGAAAAGGAAAAACTATAGAATAGATATGACTTTTCCCTTCCTCATAGTAAGACCATATTTCCCCTCTACTACATATGCTTGCTATGGTTAGCAAGGTGATGCTCACAGTGAACACTTGCTCTGAATTAGCTTAATTTAACACGAGTGACAGCATCATACGGCCAACCCTGTTGACTAGGTACCAACACGATTTACTTTCTTCTGCCAAGGAAGAGGAAAGCTATACATGCAAAAGTATACTTTATTATGTGTCCTATATAAGATATATCATTTTGTAGCTATATCCTGTTTCAGCAGACAGGAGCAGTGGCTGTTCTCAGATGATCTCAAAAAAGCTAAGCAGGGTCAAGCTGGGTTAATACTTGAATGGGATGCCTCTGGAAAATCCCAGTGCTATAGTTAGGCAAACTACCCTGGGAGTAGGCCAGGGATGGGATTCTACCAGTTCACACCTATTCGCTAGAACCGGTTGTTAACATTCTAAGCAGTTTGGAGAACCGGTTGTTAGAAGAAATTACTGGCCTAATCCTGTAAGGAAGGCAGGAAGGAAACATTCTGGTGTTGCTTACAGAAACTGCCTCTCCGTTAACCCTTATTATATTCTTGGCAGGACTAGACTTCCTGTTTCAGGATCATCTCTGGAGTTTTTGTCCCCTCCTTTGCTGGTACTTTGCTTTTGTGGAGTGACCATTCAAAGTTACAGTGGCACTGAAAAAAGTGACTTATGACCATTTTTCACACTCACGATTTTTGCAGCATCCCCACAATCATGAGAGGCCAGGTGAGGAGATGCATGCCTCGATGTGAGTGATGTTGAGTTGGCCACTCCCAGCCAGTCACATGACTACCAAGCCACGCCCACCAACTAAGCCACGCCCACAGAACCAGTTGTTAAAAAAATTGAGTCCCACCCCTGGAGTAGGCCATGGCAAAAAAAGTTCTGTCTTCTTGCCAAGAAACCTGCATATGTCCATCAAGTCATCAGAAATCACACTTGGCCTGAAAAGCTTTTTTTCTAATTCAGATAATAATTAAATATGGATGATATACAGATTACATCTAAATCGTCATACTTGTAGATGAGCAATAAATAACCAATGAACAATATTATTAATGTACGAAAATGAGCAAATATGTACCTGTTTAAACTCCAGTATCTTCCTCAAGTAGAAAGTATAAAATAATACACTTGATTGTTATGTTTCTTTGTACCACAGAGAAGGTTAATGCAGACCTTGGAGGTCTTCTAGTCCAACCCCCTGCTCAAGCAGGAGATACTATACCCTATACCACTCTGGACAAATGGTTCTCCAATCTCTTCTTAAAAACCTCCAGTGATGGAGCACCCACAACTTCTGAAGGCAAGCTGTTCCACTGGTTAATTGTTCCCACTGTCAGAACATTTCTTCTTAGTTTTAGGTTGGTTCTCTCCTTGATTAGTTTCCATGTCATGCTTCTTCTTCCTTCTGGTGCTTTTATAAATAGGTTCTCTTCTCTGTGGCAGCCCCTGAGATATTGGAACACTGCTATCATGTCACCCCTGCTCCTTCTTTTCACGAGACTAGACATACCCAATTCCTGAAACCATTCTTTATATGTTTTAGCCTCCAGCCCCCTGATCATCTGTGTAGCTTTTCTCTGCACTCTCTCCAGAGTCATGGACCCTTAGAATAGGTCCTTTGCTAAGGAAGACATTTCTTCCCTCTTACACAGAGAACAGACTGCTAAGATAGTGCTTCCATAATCTTTATATTATTTTAAAGGAAGTAAAAACACATTAGAGAGACGTTGAGACCTTCAATTTTTATAGTAGCACCAAGAAGGATTTTGTATGGGAAAATTGCCTTGATGCTCAAAAACAGTTTACTTGATGTGATCTGAGGCTGAGTTCCTTCGCACCTCACTGTCTTACTCTACTGCTAAGGATGGATCAGGTTTTAGACTGGCTGAGGTTAGAAATGAATTCTGCATTTTGATGTTTACATAGCAGTCAAGCAAATAATCACTGAATTTCACCTGTAAGATTTTCAAACTCAACTCAGTTATATAATACAAGTGTAGCTTACAGATGGGCTATGACTGGCAATAAGATTTAAGATTAACTAATTTAGTAACCTGCTCACAGGGCATTCAAGACAATATTGGAAGTAAGGCAAAACTTACTTTTACAGTGTGTAACGTTAGTGGAACCATCAAAATCTGTACTTGTATTTCCAGGGCAAGTGATGCAATAATTCTGGCCAAATTCAGGTTGGTAGGTTCCTACAGAACACCTAATACATCTGTGGGTTGTAGAGTTGTAGTAATGGCCAGGAGAACAATGAACTGTTTAGAAGAGAGGCAGGTTGTTTTACAATGTACGCAAGATAAAAGGAACAGAGGAAAAATAATAAAGAAATACATCAGGCTGGCACTGGGCAAAAAGTCTTATCTCAGATACTTTTGCTACTTTTTAAGGCAAATAAAATACCTGTTATATTACAAATCAACCCGAAACCCTCACTGAAGGCACAAATGACCAGCCTTAAACTATCATACTTTGGATGCATTACAGAAGTGGTATTCAGCAGATTCTGATCAGTTCTGGAAAACCGGTAGCGGAAATTTTGAGTAGTTCAGAGAACCGGCAAATACCACCTCTGACTGGCTCCATCCCCATCTATTCTCCGCCTCCCATTGAGTCCCAGCTGATCGTCTGGGTCTTCTTTGGTTGCCCTGCATAGGAGAACGGAGCTGGAAAGCAGGTTGGTGGGGTGGGGAGAGAATGGGACTTTGCAGTAACCTTCCCCCAGGAGTGAGGAGGGAATGGGGATTTTGCAGTAATGTTTCCCTAGGAATGGGATGGGAATTGAGATGTCATGCCCCTGTAGGAATCTGATTCCGAGGGGGAGGCTGAGCAGCTGGCAGGGAGTGGGAGCGTGGCTCCGGTGGCTGGGGAAGAAACTGGGGAAGGGCAAAGTCCGGCTGGTCAGAACAGGGGAGAGGTAGAGCAAGGCAGAGGGAATTCAGAGGAAGATCCAGGCCCATCCCCCCTCTTCAACCTGGGGGGGAAAGGGAGGAACGGAGAAGGGAGCAATGTGAGTTGTGTGGTTTAGGGGGGAGGAAAGGGTCCTGATTCCTTTCATTAGCTGCAGCCGGGAACACAGTGTTTAAAAAGGGAGTTTGCGCATAGCAACTCATGGGCAAAGTTGGAGGTATTAAAGGGACTTTTCTTACTTATGTGACTGTGTTGCCTTTGTGCCATGCCCTGTGTTGTCATCACAGGAGATTTTACAGTATCCTCCCCTGCCACGCCCATCAAGCCACACCACGCCCACAGAACCGGTAGTAAAAATGGTTGAATCCCACCACTGATGCATTATGCAAAGACCCAGTTCTTTAAAAAGGCTTTGATGCTGGAAGGAAAGAGAAGGAAGAGGACGACCAACAGCAAGCGGGGTGGACTCCTAAGTGGCGAGGCTTGGAAGAACAGATACAGCATCATGAAGAAGTTCTATTTGTGGGGTTGCTACGAGTTGAAAAAGACTTGATGAAACATAATCAACCCATCATTTTAGGGTATTCTTACATTTTATTTTGAGCTGCCTTAATACTATATGGAAGGATAGAATATAAACTTACCTTTAGTTTCGCAGTCTTGAAATGAAACTGCGCCATCATATTTTGTCCCCAGCCCTCCACCGCAGGGGAAACAGAGGGTCCTTCCTGGTTCAGACTGGTAAGTGCCAAGTGGACACAGTCTGCAAGGTTTAAAACCATCAGAAGAAAACTGCCCAGGAGAACACTGTCCTAGAAAGGGAATAAATCTATGGTTTACACATAAATATAGCTACAGTTATCTCAGTGCCTGTGACATTTACTCTTTGGGATTCCTGTGGGATCTTTTCTTTTTTTTTCTGCTAGAAAACAACAAAAGGCTTTGGAAGTTGCAATCATGTGACCGTGGGACACTACAACTCAGAGGTGGTATTCAGCAGGTCCTGACCAGTTCTGGAAAACCGGTAGCGGAAATTTTGAGTAGTTTGGAGAACCGGCAAATACCACCTCTGACTGGCCTCGTCCCCATCTATCCTCTGTCTCCAGAGTCCCAGCTCATCAACTGGGTCTTCTTTTGTTGCCCTGCACAGGAGAACGGAGCTGGAAAGCAGGTTAGGGAGGGAATGGGATTTTGCAGTATCCTTCCCCTGCCACGCCCACCAAGCCACACCCACAGAACTGGTAATAAATTTTTTTTGAATCCCACCACTGCTACAACTGGTTGTAAATGTGAGCCAGTTTACCAAGTTCCCAAAATGCAACCGCATGATGTGGAGTGCATGCACACAGCAGTTGTAACTTTGAGGACGAGTGATAAGTAGCTATGAAATCTGTTGTAACTTCAAATGGTTAGTACGCGATCAGATATAGGTTGAGGACTATTGTATAAGATATATTGTAGGAAACTCAGAGTAATCTGATTGATGTTTCACATGAAGTGACTATGCATATATGAAGGATCTAAGCATATTCCAGGAAACATTTAACAGTCACAACAGAAAAGTCAGTATAAACAATGGTTTACTGGTCAGATCACAACTTCAGATTTCTCCTTTTGTCCTATTTTTAATTAACTTTTCACTCCAGTTTCTGAATGAAATTTGTGAAATGAAATGCACATGGAAGTCATAACTTTGATGAGGATCATAAGTAGCTATGAAATCTGTTGTAACTTCAAATGGTTGGTAAGCAATCAGATGTAGGTTGAGGACTATCATATAAGATATATTCTAGGACAGGGTGCCTAACTCACAATGATGACCAGGGGTGAAATTTGTGACCAGGGGTGAAATTCAACCACCTCGCACCACCTTGGGAGAGATGGTAGGGATGATTTGAATCCGTTGGCCCCGCCCACGCCCGCCCACTTCCTTTTAGAGGACTGAGTCCCACCAAGCCACGCCCACAGAGCCGGTAGGGAAAAAATATGAATTCCACCCCTGCTTGATGTATCGCAACTTTTTCGCCCTTCGCTAAAACAGGGATGGGTGTGGCCAGCACATGATGCATCCGCCCCATGGGCCGCGAGTTTGACACCCCAGTTCTAGGACATTCAGAGTAACCTGATTGGTGCTTCACACGAACGGATTATGCGAGATCTAAGCATATTCCAGAAAGCATTTAGCAGGCACAACAGACCAAGTCAATACAAAACAATGATTTGCAGCTCGGATCACAACCTCAGACCTCTCCTTTTTCCTATTTTTTATTAACTTTTCACTCCAGTTTCTGGATGAGATTTGTGAAATGAAATGCTACTACTTGCCTCCACATTCTAACACACTTCGTGCACCTTCAATGCCTTGCCCATCATTCCCTGGACAAGGTTCACAGGAGAGCTGACCTTCTGTGTCTTGATACGTTCCTGGTGAGCAAGGGATGCATTGATTATGTTCTCCACTATAATAGGTGCCAACGCTGCAGGTAACTGGGAAAATAAAAATCAATTCTATGTTTATTACTGCTTCATTATCACAGTGTCTTCCTAGTACTACCCTGTTTCTCCAACAATACGGCCTCCCCCAATAGGAAGCCCCAGCATGTTTTATAGGCATGAAATGAAATTAAGCCCCTCCCCCCAAATTAAGGCCTATATTAAAACATGCGAAATGGGGGGGAATGGTGGGGGGGCTTGCCGTTAGGAAGTACTTTTGTGGCACACCCGGATATGGTGCTGCCTGCGTTGACCCCGATACGAAGTGCCCCACCAACGCCGAGGTCAACATCCAAGCCGTTGCCACCCGCCCACCCAAAGATGCAAGGGGGGGAATTAAGTCACCCCCGAAAAGACAGCCTAGCCATTTTTTCGGGGCTCAAAAAAAAATAAGACCCGGCCTTATTATATGAGAAACACGGTATCGATCACTGGCAACCATCCCTTTAAACTGATCACACCCTTGTTCAGCTTTACAGTAGATAAGATATTGCAATCTTTGAGTAATATTTTAAATCCCCACAGAGCATTGTTGCTACTGTGTTCCTCCAACAACACGGCCTCCCCCAATAGGAAGTCCCAGCATGCTTTATAGGCATAAAATCAAATTAAGCCCCTCTCCCCAAATTAAGGCCTATATTAAACATGCGAAATGGGGAGGAATGGCGGGGGGGCTTGCCGTTAGGAAGTACTTTTGCTGCCTGTGTTGACTTCAGCATTGGTGGGGCACTTCGTATCGGGAGACCTTCTGCCACCGTTGCTTTCCCTTCTCCCCATGCTGCCGTGGTGTTTAAAGCAACGCCGTGGCATTTGGCGCAGCCGCGCGCGGCCAGCTAGGGCTCTTCTCTACAACCGGAGCCCGGTGGAGACACTCGGCTTCAGGTGTTCCTGTCGCCGCCTTCCCTTCGCCTTCGAAGGCAAAGCCAATTCTTTTAAAAACGACACCCTACTACTAGTACGACAAAGACTCCCCTGCCCGAGAGGGCAGCCCAACCCCACGTGGGGAGGCGAATCTCCTGGGGCCGCAGCGCAGGATCGGCCCACCCCAGGAGAAGCACCCAGTCGCCATCCCTGCCTGGCTGCCCTGTCCTAGACCGCAAAGAGCTTTGCCTGGGGCGCCCAGCGCAACTGACAGGCAGGCCCTCCTGCCCGGTGGCGGAGCTCTCACCAAGGCAGTGAGCGCCTCCCTGATGGACCCTCTGCTCATCCTGCCAGGGCCGCACCAGAGCCGTGTGGGCTGGGCAGAGCCGGGAAAGCGAGCCGCGGGTGCGCGCCTGCCTGCCAAGCGAAAGAGCCGGGCCGACCCAAGCTTGGCTTCCTTCCCAAGTCCCTCCAGCCTGAACCCGAAGGAGCCACTGGGAGAGGCTGCCCGAGGCAGTGATAGCACCCACCCATCTGCGGACAGGGAGGCGAGGTGACGGCAGTGCTGCTTCCCTGGCTGGTGGGTCTGGCAGAGAGAGACCGAAGCTGCCCATCCTTTCCACCCCTTGCCCAGTCCGTCCCCATCCCCACGCATCTCCAAACGCGCCGGCAGTTCCAAACATTGCAGCAGCACGGGCATCGGGCAGAGGTGCTCACTTGGCGGGGCTCAGCTCAGAGGAGGATGCGGCGCAGGCCATTGCCTTGCCTCCCTGTCCCCTCCTGGCTCACTTTCCCAGCTCTGCCCAGCCCGCACGGCTCTGGCGCGGCCCTGGCAGGATGGGCGGAGGGTCTGGCAGGGAGGCGCTCGCTGCCTTGGCGAGAGCTCCACCGCCGAGCAGGAGGGCCTGCCGGTCAGCTGCGCTGGGTGCCCCAGGAGAAGCTCTTCGCGGTCTGCCCGGCGCCAGGCAGGGATGGTGACTGGGCGCTTCTCCCGGGGTGGGCCGATCCTGCGCTGCGGCCCCAGGAGATTCGCCTCCCCATGTGGGGTTGGGCTGCCCTCTCATGCAGGGGAGTCTTTGTCGTACCGGTAGTAGGGCGTAGTTTTTAAAAGAATTGGCTTTGCCTTCGAAAGTGAAGGGAAGGTGGCGACAGGAGCGCCTGAAGCCGAGTGTCTCCGCCAGGCTCTGGTTGCAGGGAGGAGCCCTGGCTGGCCGTGCGTGGCTGCGCCAAACGCCGCGGCATTGCTCTAAACGCCGCAGCAGCACGGGGAGAAGGGAAAGCAACGGTGGCGGAAGGTCTCCTGATACGAAGTGCCCCACCAACACCGAGGTCAACATCCAAGCTGTTGCTGCCCGCCCACCTGAGGATGCAAGGGGGGGGGGAATTAAGTCACCCCCGAAAAGACGGCCTAGCCGTTTTTTCGGGGGTCAAAAAAAAAAAAGGCCTAACCTTATTTTGTGAGAAACACAGTAATATTAGAGCACATTTTTGCTTCTATACATAAAACAAGCTCTGAAATCTGTACATATTGTTGACAATACAGTCAAATTCTGTATTTGATTACAGCAGTGTTCTACTGACTGTAATATAGCTGACATATTAACAAAACCTGTATCTGTGAACAAACACCAGGAATATGTTAAAGCATTTGGATAATCAACTGTTCAGCTTTAAATGGAGGAGTGTTAAGGTAATGAAGATTTAA